TATATAGATGAGGTATAAGACGGGCAAAAGAAGGGCAAAGTCAAAGGAAAATAAATTAAAAACACAGGAGTTCATAAAACTGGAGTTCAAAATTGATTAAAGCTACAGAGAAAATGTGGCTCCTAACAACCGTGGAAGAGCTGGTCGACCCCAAAACTGCCCCCATCAGATAAACAGCACTGAAAGCTTTCATCTCTGAGAGAGAGGAGAAAATCAAGCTGCTTCAGATCTGAAAACATCCACAGGTGTTTCTGTCCATCCTTCCACTGTGAGAAGACGACTCAGCGCTGTGGGTCTGAAAGGATGTGTAGCTGATCAAGAAGAACCTCACTGAGAAAAGGAGACGGACACATCAAACAAAGAAGCTGAACGATGGACTGACCACCCCAGAGTCCAGACCTCATCACCACTGAATGTGTTTGGGTTTATTTGGATTGTGAGAAGCAGAAAATGCAACCAGCTTCTAAGACTGTGTGGAAAAACATCCCTGCGGACTTCATTGAAAAACTGAAACCGAGTCTCCCGATAAGAACAGAAGTAGTGAAAAGGTCAAAGGGTGGACACAGTAGCTGGGGCCACAGACGTTTCCATTGAAGAAACAAGTCTGTCACGCCAGAACCAGCGAAAAATGTTTGAGCTAAATAAGAGAAACAGAAAAAAACAAAGAGGAGCTCAATTCATCAATGCGCTTTAAGGCGTCTTTACTTACACTGACTTATTTTTGTTTGTTCCATCAACCAGTAATCTGAGCTTCTCACTCCAATGCCGAAAATAAAGGTGACCATCAAAATGAGGGGCAGAGAGAGTTTGACAGATTAGAAAATGACCATGAGTCAGTAAAACATCAGGGGGAGGATGAGGACAAACAAACACCAAAAAACAAAACAGGAGGCAGCAGGATGGGCGGCCTAGCAGTAATATCGGGGGTGTAGGTCTGTCATGATCATGAAATTTTAGTTCAGAATTAATCGTCATATGAATAAATAAACATTTCTCAGCACTGCCCTCTGGTCATGTAAGAGCACCAGGTTAGACGTTTTTGTTTGATAAGCCCCGTGACGTCTCAGTGAATGGAGTTACTTTGCTTTCTTTTATTTACATTTATTTGCTTTAAACCAACAACTTCAATTCACAGTTTGTCTGTTTGTTGGAGCATAATGTGACTGTCACATCTATCGACTGTGGAAAGTAATTACAGTCAGCTTAAATAATTCTGATCATCAGATAAATGCGATGAGACAATTATGTGATCAGTTGGGCTAATAACTCGTAGAGCTCTAGCTAAGCAGTAAAAATCAGTCATTTTTAATGAATTGTTTTTATCGGTTTGTTAGGAGTTTCTATGTGTGTGGTGCTGGAGGCCCACTTCTGAGGTTTGCCCCCACTCGTGTAAGAGCATAGTTTGCCACTGCTAGCTTGCAAGTGGGAACTGACAATGAAAAAACTGGAAAAAATGTAAAGATTAAAAAAAAAAATCCACCAGCTTCAGTCCTTTCATTTATTTGATTATCATTTATTACTGCTGCGATGGTAATCCCACTTTTCTCCTGGCTTCTCTGTTTTTACTAAGGCAGTGGCTACTCTGTGTTATTTCTCACAATTTCCCTTTCTTGCTCCTTCCACGACATGCCATCACGCTTGACCGTCCTGGACGCTCTCACTGCTGACTGTAAGAAATGTTGCTAGTGTTAAATCTGACGAGAATAAACAGATCTGTGGTGAAATAGTCAGATTGTGATTATAAATACACACGTTTTTCTATATTCTCTGTTTCTTGCAAGGTAAATCCCATTCTCAGGTCTAGAGCCCAGGTCCTGGTTGGCGCCCCCTGTCGACGACTCTGCGTATAACTCCTCTCTCTCGCCCTTTCTAATGTAGTAACCTCTCAAACCAGTCCTCATCCCATTATCCTCGTTTCTGCCCTCACTTGTGAAGGTTGGGGATGTATTAGTGGTGGTAGGAAGCTTGTGATGTCTGTATGTCATTTATTAAAAAGATGTATATGACTCAATTTGTCCCATCACCGATTTTCATAACTTGGTTATGGTTCTGCTATATCCTGAGAGCGGTGCTTTGGAGAAAAGCTCGCCATATTTATTGTTCTCATCTGCCAAAGGGGGGGAGGGTGCGGGTTATTGCTTTATTTCCATGGGATATTCCGATTTGAATAGGATGAGAAGCAGTGGTGGGAGAGAGAGAGAGAGAGAGAGAGAGAGAGAGAGAGAGAGAGAGAGAGAGGGAGAGAGAGAGAGAGAGAGAGAGAGAGAGAGAGAGAGAGAGAGAGAGAGAGAGAGAGAGAGAGAGAGAGAGAGAGTTATTTGACATTACAGATGATATCTTGCGCTCTTCTTTTTTTTTTCCTCACAGGGTCTAATTGTGGATACGGTGCCTTTGGAAGGTATTGCCTTGTTAGCAGAATTGTAATAGCAAAGGGTGAAGGATCATATGTGTTCAATACTCTTTTGTTGTGTTGCGATTTGCCTGTGAGAAAGGTCCTGGGCTGCAGGAAATGCGCAAAGCCAGAATCAGCAGAAACGCTACCTCCCGAATGCCCTCGCGCACTCCGTCCCTGACTGCAATTAGTAACACTCACTCCTCCAGTTATTTGATTATATCACATCTGCATAGTTTAATGGTTAAGATGTAAACAAAGTCAGTGAAATACACCATTTTAGAGAAAATTACAGAATTGTTTTAGGTCAGAATTGTTCACAGTGGTGGTGACAGGAATCTCAAGCGTTACCTCTAAAAGCTCCCTCATAGAGAGCTCTCACACACTGCGCAATATATCATACCTAACAATATATAACAATATAACTACTACTGTAAGGACAGTTTCACTATGCACTTTACACTGTAATATCGATGGAACTCCGAGTCACTTATGTCTATAATCACTGTGCTTTTAGTTTACCTCACACCGTTCAGTGCCTGCTATCATGTAAATACAACAAATCTGTCTCATATGTATGTAAATATCCAAATAGATATACTTTTATTTTATTTCTCTTGTACTTCATCTTATCTCTAGATTTATTTCTATTTTTATTTTCTGCAGTGTATGTAATTTTGTGTGAAATTATATGTCTTGCTACTGAAACACTGCAATTTCCCTTCAGGATCAATAAAGTTCTATCTGCCTCAAACATAGTTTTTTTGGCCTAAAATATATTTAAAAAAATATATTAATGGCAGAAGGTGTTGTACGGCAATATAGTCCCCCAAGAAAATGCATCTTTTTCTGGTTTATGACTATTTTACCATTATCAACGTTACATATAAAGACTCAGAAGGCACATGTAGGTTTACTGGTCATTTTGGATAGTAAATAAAATGTCTATGTAAGTGTTGTAGACACTGTGACCCCTGGCTCCCATCACCACCACTGCAAAGAAATCTGAGCTGGTAAGTTGCTCAACAACGTCCCCTTCCACCTCAGAACACTCAATGATTTTGCATGTAATTAAGCAGAAAGTTTCAAAAATCGGTGTAATTCTTCTAACTGTGGTTTTGTTGGGTTTGTTGAGTTATTTACTTCACAAAATCCTTTCTGTTTTATTATTGATGTGTTGGAGCCAGTATAAATCATAAGCCCAATTGATTTATCAATTATGTGATAGAGCGTCATAATAGCCACTGTCGTTTGTCATTTAAAATACAATTTAATTGATGCAGAAGCTAAATTAATCACAATAACGACTAGGGTTACCTGCGGGTGCGTTTGCTCCTGGTGGACCGAAAGACCCTTGTTAGGCATGTGCTAATTTAACTTGAAAAACTACTTATGTGTCCCCTGTGCATCATCTAGGCTTGCGTTGTTTTTAGACGTAGACAAGTCTTGAAATACAACACACAAGGGCAAATTCAAAAGGATGACCTTTCCTATCATAGAGTGCCACTGACCAGGCTATTGTTATAAATAATAATAAATGCTCCTCAAATTAGAAGATTAAAGCAAAGGATGAAGTGAAGTCTTTTTTTCAGGTATCAGAGATCTGCTATCCTCTGCTTAGTGTCAGAAATACCCAGGTAGCAAACACAGTGCAGAATACAAGAAAACCTTCGACATCAGACAACTTCTGAGCAAAATACAAGCAGTGGGAGCGCAAAAAGTGATGAAGTCGAACAAAAGACTTAAAAAAAAGATTATTATTTAACAGGATTTTAATATATGTAGGCATCATCTTAATTGTGAAGAAGAAAAACTGGTGGATATGATAAAGGTTTTCTTTAAAAAGCCCATTTCATGGAAAATCGACATTTTTTTTTTTTAATAAAGATTTTGATGTAGTTTGTAAACACTGCTAAACTTTCAAAACACACCGTAACCTTGCCAGTCCATACGGCAATTTTTGGAACAGCCCATTTTGAATGGACTGTTTTTGTTATGTCACTAAAACCAACACATCCATGGTGGTGCAGCTCCAGCTATTCGACTGAAGTCACAGGGAGTGTTTCAGTGAAAGTGTAGAATATGTAGAAAATGAGTTGTTTCTCATTTTGAGAACATCTTTATACTAAATCAAACGGAGTTATAAGCAAGTAAGAAAACAGTCAAAAAGAAAAGCTCTTTTAAAAACGATTAACTCAAAGTTCTTATAAAAATGTAGAACCGTAAACTTCTGTTTGCCTTACTCCTGTACCAGCTTTCCTCCTCCCTGTCTGTCTTCTTCTTTTTCCTCCTGGCTCTCCTGTGCGATTCTGTCTCTCGGATCTCCGAGCAGATAGCGGTGTCCTCTGTTCTAAATTTAGCCGGGAGAAAGTCAAGCTGCAGCCTGAGACGCGAACCCACCAGACTTCCCTATTTCTGTCTGTGCATCCTTGGCCAGGTTTATCGCAGCAGCCTGTGTCTGGGCCCTGGGTGGTCCACTGATATCTCTGCCTCTGACCATTGCTGCTGGGTTTTTTACTAAAGTCACACCATGAGGTGACACTGAGGCATCAGTGGTGTGACCAGTGGAAAGTGCATGTGTTTGACGCCATTCTTGCTCGTTCCTCAGGTGGGCCGCTCCGCTAGAGGTAAATGGGCTGCTGGAGTTCTATGCGCTCTACCAGACAGTTCCTGGAGGGGAGCCCGTGGTGGTCTACAACAGCTCCGAGCTCTTTGAGGATCACACTCTGCGCAACCTTGTCCCCGGGACCACCTACCTGTTCCAGATTGCTGTGCGTGTCACTCTGCTCCACATTTTCAGTCTAGTGTAAAGCATGTTGGTTGTTTTTTACATCAAAACAGTACAATATCTAAATTTCCAACATACACTAACATTCAGAAGTTTGAAATCAATAATTTTAATAATATCAAACCAATTTAGTTACAGATACGTATATAAAATTATTCCAGTTAGGTGGTTTTATTGACTTTTAGTGATGTTTTGTATGGAAAAACAGCCTGTCACAGACGTTGAAGCCTGATTTTTATCTGGAACAACAAATTTGATGCTTGTTTTCCAGTGTAATTTCTAAAAATATCTTAAAATTATTTAAAATATATGAATTTCATTTTATCTTGTCTAAAATATCTTGTCCCAAGATTTTTTGTCAGTGATGTTATGGTAACATAGTATCATAAAAAAAGTTGAACAAGAGGAGGAAGGTCTTCTTTTTGAATTATTTTTTGTATAAATATCAAAAAAGGAAGAAAGACTAATTTAGAGAAAAACACAGTGAGTAAAATCGCTTATGTCTCTTGTCTTTCTGACAAAATAGGCTAAAATACTGATATATGATTAGAGGATTGTGTCAGTGACGTTACTCATAAAACATAAACTGATTTTAAAACTGAAAATAACAACATAAATGCAGTTATGTACAGTGTGACTTTGACAATAAAATGACAGTGGACTATATTTCAGAAAAGCTTTAGTCATTTAGTCAGTGGTGTTACAGTCAGTATTATCCTTTACTGATGTTTACTGAGTACATTTTATACTTAAATTACATTTTGCAGAGGTAGAATGACCCATATACAGTACTGAGCGATTGCATCTGTGAAAAGTATATGCAAAACAATTTATCTGGGCAGCAAGTGGGCACCGCTAACATGAGAATAAATAAAAACAAACAAATAAACAATGCATTCTGATTTTATGTGTGTCAGTTTCCTAAGCTTCCCTTGAAGAAACCCAGTGTATACAGTTACCATCCAATGCATAGATTATCTAACCAGTCCTTCTTTAAATGTCTGTCTATGACTGGTGTTCAAAAGTGCGATCAATTCTTGAGGCAGATGACTTACAGTATAAAATCAATTACAGTGTATTATTTAATAACTACTTCTTGTTTCCAGATTACCTTAAATATTACGTAAGGCATCAGCAGATATTTTTGGTGCATGTAAATCGACTTTGTGTGGATGTTTGGGCATCCTTGGTCAGTTTTGTTGATTTTCTAAGTGAAAGTAAGTCTCTAAAGAGAACACACTTGTGCACATTTTAATGCACAATTACTGTTTATTTTCTGAATTTAACATATTGGAGAAAAAGAAAAACAAAATGTGGTCTGTGAGAAAGTTATGACACATTTAATGTAAATTTAACATTTTAAACTCAGCAAATAAATAGAACTTGTGCACTAAAACGTACAGAAAAAATGCTGTTTTTCTTTGGTTTTGCTTTATGTTGACTGTTTAACCCTCCCTTGTTTATGTATATAACTCACGATCTTCACTCTGATCTGTAGGCGTGCACGGCGGGCGGCTGCACCCTCAGCGCCCCCAGCCTGGCCCACACTGAGGAGAGCTCTCCGGAGGAGGTGCCGGCTCCGGACATCCTGCACGTCTCCCCGCACGCGCTCAACGTGTCCTGGGACCCTCCGCGCAAGCCCAACGGTGAGTGGGGTCAAAGCCAGGCACGGCCAAAGGTCAACTCATATTCTAAATGGTGCGCTTAGCTAAGGGATGCTTCATGTTTAATGATGGGTTAGCGCACACGGACGATGCGGAGGAATGGAGGAGCACTTTTGTGTGGCGGCATGAGAGCGAGCCTGGAGCGAGGGAGGGGAGGGGGGGCGAGAGAGGGAGAGAAAGGGAGGGAGAGAGAGGAGAGCAGGGCGTTTTAAGTGGATGAAAAGTGCTCCCTTTTGACTGATGCTGTGAACTGCAGCTTCAACAGTGGCTGTGCTGCCACCTCCTCGTTCAGTGCTGTGGAAATGCCCCAGCTTTCTGTAGACGCTGGGAATAGGATACAGGACAAGAGTTCAGGAATTGAACCCTGATCTGATCTTAGAGTATTATTGGTTAATTCATTAATAATTTAACATTATATGTGCCACAATATGGCATATTATCAGCGCTAAGATCGTATTGTTAATTCTAGTGTATCACAGCTTAGACCTACAATTTTTCTTGTCTTTATATCGAGCCCTGTTTTTTGTATTGTTGCACTGACTGAACAAAACAAAAATCTATTTATCATGTTTATGAATAGGTTTTAATGTGATACAGTGGCTTACAATATTGATGTTAATCTGTATAAATAGTCAATTTTGCTTATGTGACATTCTTCTGTATGAAGAGGTAAAACCAAACACACAGCTGTCATAAGGTTTGAATAGGAGTGTAACAGTACAACATGTCATATTGTACCATTCAATGTGAGCCTCTCAATTTAATACACACAGGTAATAAGCAATACATTCAACAGACTGAAGCAAATAAAGTATAATACTGATTATACTGAATAAAGTATAATAAAAATTAAGCTCACAGTGAGAGCAGACCCTCCCTCTTCTGAAAATATAGATTCCTTTTTGTCTTAAAAATGGGGAGCACACTCCACGTAGCGTAAATTAGCTTCTCCATTGTTTATAATATATTTGAAAAAATGTTTTGAATTGAAATACCACAGTATCATATTAGGCCAGATTAATATGAATGAATTATGTGAATCGTTACACCCTACTTATGTTAAATTTACATGCAGTCATATGCAAAAGTTTGAACACCTCCAGTCATTTCATGTCTTGTTGATTTTCTAAGTGGGAATACAGTAACGCGTCCTTTACAGAGAACATACTCAAATGTGGCTCAACTACTGTTTATCTGCAGACTTTAACATACTGGAAAAAACAAAACATACAATATAAAATGTGCCATAACTTTTTCACAGGCTGCATTTTTCCCCAGTATATTAAATTTAGAACATAAACAGTAATTTTGCATTAAAGTGTTCAGATGTTTGTTCTGTAGAGCGTCTGTAAACTTTTCACTTAGAAAATCAACAAAACTGTTTAATAAGCTACACAATTCTTCATAGGTTTTCTTATAAAACTGGATATTTTAAAGCAGTTTATTTCATTGTATGGTAGACTTAAAAACATATGTAAATGTATGTATGCTGTCATATGCAGGCACATGCAAAAGTTTGGGCACCCTGGTCAAATGATGCTTTGTTGATTTTCTGAGTGGAAATAAATGAACACATCCTCTACGGAAAACACACTTATGAACATTTTAATACACAATCAATGTTTATTTCCTGAATTTAACATATTGGGAGAGAAATAAAACATAAAATGTGGCTTTTGTGTAAAAGTTATGGCACATTTTATATTGTATGAAAATATTTTGTTTTGTTAAAAAACTGGGCAATAAAAATTGCAGAAATATACCACTTTTGAGCTTGTTCTCTGTACAGGATGTGTGAATTTATTTTCACTTAAAAATTCAAAAAAAACATTTTAACCAAGGATGCTTTTTTTAGTCAAAAATTGTAAGTAAGTAAAAATAGAAAGTTATGTAATGTAATACATCCTTTTAATTGTGCAGATCTGATATTAGTAGTAATATATTGTAATTAATCAATACAAAAGGCACCCAGGTTTTTAGCAAACATACTATTATATCTTCTGTTTGACAGTTTTGGAAATGAGGGCACTGAACATCAAAGGAATAAGATTTTTAAGTGAAGGAATGACTGGAATTTACTATTTGCCTTAAAGTGTCTAATAATTAATTTGGCCTTTGATGACAGCAGATGCTCCGTATGTTTACAAATATCATTTTAATGGATGCAGAGTTAAACCAAGAATGGCTGCATAAATAATTTAACACAAATAGAATGAGTAACCAAAGATTTCCAGTACTCTCAAGAACACCCGACCCCAGTGATATGACAGATGATACGAGCTTATTTGTGTCTTCAGAATATAAGCAGTCGACGTATTGCATTTCATAGTGGCTATCTGAGGATAGAAATGTGCCCCTCATATTTCTCTGATTAGAGAAAATATCTCCTGTGGTATCTGTGCTAATATTAGCACAACAAACCAGTGTGATTTATTTTTTTATTTGTACAAATAAACAGTTTAGCAATAGTAGACACAGATTTCACCTTAGAATGACTTCAAATCGTGTCATTTGACCAAGTTTTTGCATGCGACTCTATGTGTCCGTGTTGGAAGGTGTTTTTAAGTACACAGGTGACTTTTCCCATATGCGCTGCCATATCGGTCTAGCCCTGCTGTCCTGCTCTAACCCCTCTCTGCTGACCCTGAGCACCCCTAACTGAGCTTTTGCTGTGGGCAGTTGTAAAGAGGGCAGCTACACTAAATGGCTCTCTTTCCATGTTTTACAGCCCTCTCTCCCTAATGGCTGCCTTTAACAGAGCTTTAAACAAAGCGGCCTGTTTACATCAGAACATGGAGGGAAAATGAGGGAAGCAGGCAGCATTCGGATACACACACGTCCCTCTGAATATGGCTCTATAAATAAAATGGATTTTTTCCCCTCATCTGGGGTATAAGGGCTTATACCGCTGATATTTTTTGTGTTAGATAGATAGACAGATAGATAGATAGATAGATAGATAGATAGATAGATAGATAGTATACGGTCCTGTTCAAAAGTCCACTCTTTATTTATTTAATGATATTTCTGAAAAGATAAGCTACTTGCATAAAGTAAGGCAAAGGAAAATATGTCAGGAGTTTCCAGAACTGGAGTTTAAAAAATCATTAAAATATACAGGAAAGATGGGACCCCTAATAACCATGCAAGAGTTGGTAGACCACCAAGACCCTCACCATCAGAAAAACAGCACTTAAAGCTTTCGTCTTTGAGAGACCTCCACTCCACTCAGTCCTGCAAATCCACGAGTGTTTGAGTCTGTCCTTCCTCTTTGCTCAGCTCGACGCTGTGGGTCCGAAAGGATGTTTAACTGTCAAGATGTAGTTACTGAAAAAAAGGAAATGGACAAAAAGACAAACAAAGTTGCAGGTGTTCTCAGAACAATGGACTGACCACCCCAGAGTCCAGACCTGAATGTGTTTGGGATTACTTGGCCAACTTCTAAGAACTTTGGAGGTTTGGAAAAATACCCTTGCAGGTTTCTTTGGCACAGTGATGTACTTGTTTTTTTGTTTTTTGTTTTTTCACTAGTGTTGTGTCTTTAAACATTGTGTCACCTTGGAATCATTCGAATGCCTGTACAGTAGGGTTTGTTCATTATTGTCGCAGTACTGAGATTACAGAAGGCTGAAATATGCAAATGAGCCCTTTAACCAATCACGTTTGACTGCTGTGTACATTCTGGCCAATCATAGCCCCAGGTTAGTGTTTCTGTGGGTGTTTTGATGAATATAAGTATTCTTGTAATACAGGTTATTTTCTTTGACTCACCACTGTTATGTTTTTGTTTTTGGTAGATCAGACATGCCACACATTGCTCGTCTCTCTAAACGGGACTTTTCTTTGTCTGTGGCAGGTGTAATCAGCAGCTACGGCCTGTGGATGGACGGTGTGTTGGTCCAGAACTCCTCGTCCACGAGCTTCGCGGTCAGTGGCCTGTCTCCCTGGAGTCTGCACGGCTTCCGTGTGCAGGCGTGCACAGCTCAGGGCTGCGCTCTGGGCCCTTTGGTGAGAGCCTGTCCCATTTACATTATGTTAATACATACACCATAGGTGTCAGATGGCAGCTCGACATCATAAAGGTGATCGATTCGCTCTGTTCAATAAAGCACCTTCTGCTCGCGCTTGACATTTGGTATAAATGCCACTCTGGGCTGGTTACTGCTTTGATGGGCCAGATTTGGGCATTTTTCCAATATGTGTGCAATATTTAGTCAAATGGCCAGTTCTGCCAACGCTGCAAAAACTCTGAGTGGGCCAAAGGGAGTGACGAAGGTGGGGGGGTGGGGGTTGTGGGCATGTCATCAAGCAGAGAAATATCCACGCAGTAAGGGGCGGGGGGTGATTCGTGGATTCTGTGAAGATGTGTTAATAAAATATGTTTTGACTTTGTTATACAAATGCAGTGCTCTCTTGTTTGTGTTATAAATCTGAAATAACATACTGAAAGTAACATGACACGTCTGTCCTTAATTGGAATTACAAATGGGTTCATAAATAGCAAACCATGTTATTTTCAATACATCTGGTTTGAGACAGTTTTACAAACAATTGCAAAAAAGTTGCTACAGTATGTGACATGCAAATTAAAACAGAAGTGATTAGTAAATTCTGTTTAAGCTGTATTAAACTGAAATATTACCTTTTCTTTTAGCAGCACTTAGTAAAGGTTTGGGGACTAAAGATACCATTTGATCCAGTTTTGAAAACAGAATTTTCTGCCATTTTTCAGTTAGACAAGTATGTGGCTTTTGTTGTATTTTGCACCAAATGCATCACACATTTTCAATAAGGCCAGTTTAGCACCAGCACTCTTTGATTAGACAGCCATGCTGTTGCAACCCATGCAGAATGTTTCCTGCCATTGTCTAGTTGAAATAAGAATGGATGTTCCTGAAAAACGGCATCTAGAAGGCGGCATATATTGCTAAAAATGTGCACATTACCCGCTAATACCCCCACATACCACTACATACTTTGCTCCAGAGAGCACAATATCCACTATTTCCATAAAATATCTGAAAGGTGGACTTGTCAGACATGTTTCCACTGTGCATCAGTCCATTTCAGATGAGTTTGAGCCCAGAGAAGTCGGCGGTGTTTCTGGACATTGTTAATGTATGGCTTCCACTGTGCATATTACGGTCTTGACTTGCATTTGTTGATGCAGTGATGAACAGTGTTTATTGACCACAGTTTGTCAAGGTGTTCCTGAGCCACTGTAGTGATATCCATCACAGAAACACACAGGGTTTTAATGCAGTGCCATTTAAGCTGTTATAAGTCACGGACATTCACTTAAATACGAGTCAAAGTGGATTTACAAACCTCTGTTTTCTATTTTATTGTATTTCATCTACTCTCCTAACTTTTTTGACTTATGTAAAATATTAAGAAATTAGAGTGCCTGTTCTGTTAGAGATTTTGACAGTTAATTGGACCTTTAACTACAATGTACTGATGACACAGATTTGGTAATAGTAATGATAATAATAATAACTTTGTAGTGCACTATTCATATTCATACTAGTGGCAGCTTAAAGTGATTTACACACGTCATAAAGTTAAACACTAATAGAAATTACAGTTGAGTTAATTGTTTTCTATTGTAGTTACTGTTTGAGAACCGCAATATATATGTTTAATGAAATTAAAAGAATATTAATGTAAAATCATATAAAGCAACAACATAAATCAGAATAAAAAGATAAATACAAAAAAGGGGTAGAATTTTAATTAAATGCTAAATTATAGAGATACATTTTCAAACATTTCATACAAGTACATACAAAACTTTACTGCCTAACAAAAGGTGGAACTGAGTCCATGTTTTTTAGTATTTTACAGATGGTTTTTACAGATCTAAGATCACATGAGGACCGGAGGCCGTATTACAGGACATTCCTATCCTTTTGTCTTAAGTTCAGATCTGACAAGTCAAGACAATACAAATTTGTATTACAGAGGCAAATCTGATCTTAATTTAGGAATCTTACAGTATCTTATCTCAAGTTAGGAAATCTTAAGCTGTTCAGTCAAAGTCGACAATCATCTGTCATGTCTGTTACCTGGCAACCGACTGTGTGGTTCTTTACTTGCACAAAACTCTATATCACACAAGGTTCTTTAGGGAAGCAAAAGGGTTCTTCTACAGCATCATGCAAAAAGCCATGTTTGGCACCTTGAATGTACGGTAGGTCACGACAGCAGTACCCATAATGAGTGTGTAGCTATGCAGCTATAAAAATATAAAAAAAGGAAAAAGTATAGTATCGGTATCGGTATCAGGTGATATTCAGTGGTGTCTGAAAAGAAAAGAGTGCCCTCTCTACTACAGAGCTGTCAGCATTTCAAACCAGTCAATTTTGTTCATCAATATGTTATAGTTTCTTTGTCATTCTCTCACAGGCGGAGGTCCGGACTTTAGAGATGCCCCCGGTTGGCAGCGTGCCCATAGAAATCCTGAACGAGACCCCTCGGTCAGTGAGGGTGAAGTGGGATTCCCCTGCCAAGCCCAACGGCAACCTGACCTACTCGGTCCTTTTCACCGGAGCCTTCTCCCAGCCGTCAGGTAAATCGCACCCAAATGCTTCCACAGATATCTCTCCCTCCGACGCCTCTGTGCCTCTGAGTGGATGTGACTCGCCCCCACCCCCTCGCTTGCCTCTGATCACCCATATTGACTCCAGCCATTTTCCCTATGATTGTTTACACACAGTATGCAAAAAGGGCAGTGAACCCTAGCGTGCCGCTGCCGTGCAGTAATGGCCGTAAATGAATTGTTGTCGGCCCCCATTTGGCTCGCGCCGGCTGCCGGGCGCCGCGGCAGGACCAGAGGGCGGCGGAGAGACAGCGGAGAGATGGAGGCGGCCGCCGCGTGCCCCGCGCTCCTCATCCTCGGCAGGATGAGAGTGGACAGGTTTGTTAAAAAGAGTGTAATAGCGCGTTCAGAAGAAATCAACCCCGCCACTCACCTCCGCCGGCCCTGACCGAGCTCTTTTATAGCTGCCTGGAGATAAATGCCTGCGGTGGTGTGTGCGAATGGGGATGCGCACACATTCACACAGGCACAGAGGAAGATTTCTGTCCACACGCTTACCAACCTGTATCATGTTCAGTCGTATGCAGAGTCTGTGCGCCTCTGTTCACGTGTTGTTGATTTCGAAGTGAAGAAATAAATGAACCTATCCTTTACAGAGAACACGCATCTGCACATTTCAAGGATATTGAAACTATGCACTAAAATTAGCAAAAGTAGGCAGATTGAAGAGTTTGCAAATGACACTGTATTCTTTATTATTAGGAAAGCAGCTTAAATCGCTGCATATTTTTTCCTCGTTTATATTTATATCAAAAATCACTTTACTTTAGACTTCAGACTGATATTTGGCAGTGTTAGCTTTCTGTGTTTTGATTTATCACCCTTTCCTAAGTGTCATGTTTTCCTTGACCTTATCAAATGTGACACAAGATGGAGTGGCATCTAAGGCTGTGCCTATAGAATATATTAGTAATTGAGTTATCTGCCGATTTTGATGATTAGTTGGGTAATACAAGTTTTTAAAAAGGCCAAACAATAAAAATGGACTTAACTGAACAGTAACAAACTATACGAATGCTTTTAGATTCCAGAATACTTTTTTGGAAAAAGTTAAACAAGGAAGACTTATAGAAGACATTTAGAAAACAAAATACTTAGAAATCCGCTGGGGAACACTTTGGGCTTATTAGGGCTTCAGAGAAAGCCTAATGATTTCCAAAATACATGTTATTTTTATTTATAAAACCATCATACTTTTTGTATTTGTTGTATTTAAACAAGTATTAGTAGTAAGTAGTAATGCTTATACCAAGAGCCAGTTTCCGCTGCAGGGGTCCATGCTGCCAGGATCCTCCCTGCCATCTCCCACTGCCTATACGGCACTGCACTGGTCCCCCATGCTGGACCTTGCAGGTTGTGGGCCCACGTGGTCCCCCCCACATTGCCTTTTTGGGCTCAGCCCTGCCGGGTTACGTGGCCTGCCCGGCCACCAGGCGCTCGCCGAGGAACACTACCCCCAGGCCTGGCTCCAGGGGCAGGTCCCAGTAACCCTCTCCCGGGCAGTGTACACGATTTTCTGCATCCCTTTTGTCATGAAGGATTTTTGGATCGAGTTATTCTGGGTCTTCACTGCAGACCTGTTCGCCTTGGGACACCCTACCAGGAGCATATTGCTCCAGACGACTTAGCTGTGAAGAGTCCTTGACCACACAAGCTCTTCCGCCACGGCAAGGCCCCGATCCAGGAACTCGATCGCGAATACAAGCAGCGGAAATTAGCTTTCTTCACAGGGTGGCAGCTACACTCTACTTTATAGGGTGTGGGGCTCGAGAGGAGCCAGTTGAGGTGGTTTGGGCGTCTGATCAGGATGCCCCCTGGACGCCTCCCGGTGGGGGTGTACCAGGCATGGCCTACTGGGACGAGACCCCGAGGTCGTCCTAGGACCCGCTGGAGGAATTATATCTCGAAGTTGGCCTGGGAGCCGCTCGGGTCCCCCAGAATGAGCTGGACGAAGTCATCTGGGAATCTCTGCTCTCCCAACTGCTACCGCGACCCTACCTGGACTAAGCGGTTAATGATGATGAATGAATGAATAGTAATGCTTATATTTCATTTTTAAGTTGTAGTTGAAAACAGAAGGAATCAGGATTTTTCCCTCACCGTAGTATCCAGGAAGGGACAGCCAAGAGAGCTTGACCAATGATGAAGACTTCAGGAGCTTGACAGAAGATTACTTCAACTACCAGCATAACTAGGAACTACCAGTTGTGTAATAATTTATAACAGGTGAGATCAGTTTCATGAGGGAAAAGAGACTCTAGGCTTTGTGGAAGTACTAGATATGCCACTGACTGTGAATACCAGTGGTTCTCTAACCAGGCTTCGGTCAGGTGTTAGAACTGGAAAACAGCAGCGGGGCTCTTTACTTTTGAGTCTCTGTAGAACTCCAACTTACAAAGGAAAATCCCTTCTATAGACTTTAAATAAAGCAATTTAATGTTTCTTTAATCTAGAACAGCCAAAAAATCTGCACCAGCTTTAGCATAGTGCTAACATACTTTTAGAAACTCCAAAGTGACACCAAAAGAAATTAGTATTATTGTAGATATACGTTTTACTTGTTTTTGACAGAATTATGACGTTTATTGCCTGAGCTGAAGGCCTAGCTCTAAGAATTAAGTTCCCTCACAGATGAAAACATTGTGAGGGAAAAACAATTGCACCATTTGCCTTGGTCAAGAAGGATTTAAATTGAATTTGCATTGCAATTTATCAACAAAATAATACATTGTACATACAAACTGCTGTTTTAATGCACGGTTTCTATTTATTTGTTTAACATCTTGGAAAAAATACAGCATAAAATATAAAATGTGCCATAACCTTTAACAAGGCTGCAATTTATGTGTTAGTTATTCCAATATCTTAAATTCAGCAAATTAAAAAAAAAAAAAGTGCATTAAAATGTGCAGAAGTGTCTTCTCTGGAGAGGATGGGTCACCATGGCAACAGCCATGCCACACCTTAGTGACTGCCTGGGATTCCACAGCAAAGGCTTAGCAACCACTTGGGATAACGTAGCAACGACCTAACACCACCTTGGCATCCACCTGGGAATCACTGGGAGTGGCCTAGCAACATCTTAGCAACCATGTGGGATAACATAGCAGCACCTTAGCACCACCTGGGATTTCATAGCAATAGCTTTATCAAGCCAACTTAAAGTTCATTCACAAACTTTCCCTTCTAGTTTGTAGTTTGTAAACGATTACTTGACTAATTCCACCAAAACTGGTCATTATTAGGACACGAGTCAGCCCTCCGATGCTCAGAGTGAACTATGCTGTGTGCCAGGTGATATAGTTGCATGTAATTCAGGCTCTGTTGGTCATTGTGCTTGTGGCCTGTCCACTTAGGCACTGAAGCTGGCGCTGGTTTGTGCGCCCCCCCCCCTCTTTTGCCCCTTTTGTTCCTGGTCCGCCTCCAGCTTGGTTCAGATGAAAGGACTGACCCACACCTCTCTGTGTCAGCACTTTCCTTTTGACTGCCAACCAATAGAATAGATTGTCTCTCTCCATTAATCAACAGTTCATCTGCACAGCTGACCAATTGTACACATTTAATCCCACAATGTCGCCCAGAAGTGGTGTGTGTGTGTGTGTGTGTGTGTGTGTGTGTGTGTGTGTGTGTGTGCGCATGAGCCTGATCAGCTCACAAGAATAAATTGGAATTTTTTTTCTGCAGTGCATATTTGTTTATCATCAGCAAATTATGGCCTATAATGTGCTTGTTTGTAGAAAATCCAGAAATTGAGGTTGCTTTGTTGACGGCTGCATTACTACGTCAGCGTCTAATTAAGCTGAGCTTGCCTGATCTATAATATTTGGGCCAGATCGCTTACAAGGCAATCAGTCAGGCCCTTTGATGGACGTAGTTCATATTATAGCCATCCTGATACTGCGCATATATAAACAAGAATTTAGACTGTGTGGAGTCGCCAGCTTGGTTGTTTTTCTTCACACCTAATTTTTCAGTGCTTCCATGTTTATTGGATACCTGTGGGAAATGCTTCATGTAGATGACTGTGACTTATGTGGGCAGTGTTAGTGCATATAGAGGTTACCTATTTTGTTGTCTTTACTGAGCCAGTCTTTTATTTATTTTTATTAATTTCTTTTTGCAATAAGTTGAAAATGTCTTGCTGCTTGTTTGTATTGATACAAGCTTGAATATTATTAGCCACATGGGGCCAAACCGGATCACTTAACGAGAAAGTGTGGGGAGAGCGGTGAGAAATTCTGGGCTAAATATGGGTGACAGCAAGCGCTTGTGAACTTTATCCAATGGACAACAACCCTGTCGTTAGCCCCTGAATGTAACGCACACTAGCATGGCTGAAAAGCTCCGGTTAAGCGTCCAGATGTGTTGTGTGTGTGGAGAACACAGTACATGGTTTTTTTTTTTTTTTTTAAAAAGTAAATAATTCTGTTACTTAATGATAATATTTCACTAGCTAGCTTGTTTTGCTTGTATTATTGATTACTCTGGACATTAAAAGACCGTAGACAAGAAGAATTTGGGGGTGGGTTTAGAGGTGACGTGCCCAGACATGTATTCTTGTTATGAGATTATGTCTGGCCTTTCTGGAGTATTATTAGTAACGCCCAACAGACGTGTCAGTTGGCCAGTTAAATGGTCACTATTAAGGCTTCACTGACATATCAGTATTGGCAACATTCCTGCCAATGAAGCACTGATATTTATATAATTTAGGGAGCTGTCTTCTAGTTTACAGATACCTCTAAAATGAGAAGAATTTTCCTCAAGGTATTAATGGTGTAACGCTCTTATGCAAGTCAGACACTACTAAACCCACAGTAGCCAACAATACAGGATGAATACAAAATACATTGTGGCTAAAAAACAAACCCCATTTCCAAAAAAGTTGGGATGCTTTGCAAAATGTAAATAAAAACAAAATGCAAATCATTTAAACCTATATTTAATTGAAAATATTACAAAGGCAACAT